GGACCGTGGAGTGACCCAGTGCTTCCAGCGTCTGCACAGCTGTCTTCCAGAGTCCTCCTTCGCTACAGTAGCGTGGCAGGGCCAGGCTCTGCCCAGTGGCCCTTCTCTGCACTCCAGATGCCTTCAGAGCTGGCAGTGGAGACCTTCTGGTGGAGGTCCCCCTGGACACTGGAGAATGTCTCTCATTGCCTGCCACAATCGGTGGGCACTGTGCTGATGGTCAGACTGGGCCACCAGGGCCGCAGGAGACGGACAGACTGCACAGTGCTCCGTGCGGGGTGCCCCCTCCCGGAGCACCAGGCCTGGGGCTGGGAGGGTGTTGTCTGTAGCAGCCTGTCCTCCGCGCTGCCTGCGCACGTTGCGCAGTGCCCCTGCCTCTTCCTGCGCTGGGGTTGGGGAGGGGAGGCCGTGCCAGTGGAGTCCACTGAGCAGCCCCCACCCAGGACAATACCGTCCGCCAGGGGCAGGGGCTCCTGGCTCCACACAGCACCTCCACCACCATCTGCATTTTGAGATGGGCTGTCCCACCCTCGCCCCCCAGGGTTCTGCATGTTATCGTGGCCAGCTGGGGCCTCAGAACCTGTGCTGCAGCTCTGCACGGCATGCAGAGCCCCCACCCGGCCTCGTGAGGTGGGCATTGTCTCCCATTCTGCAGATGGTGACAGTGAGGCCGCCACAGTGTTGGACCTCCAAGGTTGGCCAGAAGGTCAGGATCAGGCCGGGATTTGGGCCTTCCACTGCAGGAGAGACCAGCCCTGGGATGAGAGCGAGGCAGGGGTGGTGGCGATGCCTGCCTACTTTCCAGCCAGCTCCTGCTTTGGGTGGGCCTCCTGCACTGGACTCTGCTCTGGGGGTGTCCTGCAGTCAGCCTTGCAGTGTCACAGGTCTGTGGTGCAGCCAGAGGCAGCTTAAGCCTGGGGTCACAGGAAGAAGAAACCAGGGCTCACAGAGGGGAAGCACAGCATCTCGGGCTGTGAGAGAGCTGCCGTGTCGTTCCGTGGGGAGAGTTCATGGTGGGCCGCGGGCTCCGCTGTCAAGCGTCCCTTGGAAGGCTCGTCTCCTGGTTACTTCATCCGTCTCTGGGAAAACTGGGCAGGCTGCAGCTGGTATCTGCTCTGTTTTCTTTATACTCATGGGAATGTGCCTTAGTGGCAGTTTCTTGAGACTCCTTCCAGGTGAGGACAAGACGTGGGGTCAGATGGGGTCAGGGCCAAGGCTCAGTGGCAGCTCTGGTCCCTCCGCCTGGCTGGTGAGTGTGGCCGTCTGCTTATGAGGAAGGTGGAAGCCCAGTGCGCACGTCCGAGTCTGCTGGGCACAAGGGCTTTTAACGCCCAGATGCAGCTTTTGCTTTCCTGGCACATGAACTAAATCCCAGTAGACTTGAGGACTTTGGGAATTCAATTTGAGAATAATGTCTGAAAGCGTCACTTTCTTTTCCAGGATAAAGATAAAGTTTCTCTAACCAAGACCCCAAAGCTGGACCGCAGTGATGGCGGGAAGGAGGTGAGGGAGCGAGCGACTAAGCGGAAGCTGCCCTTCACCGTGGGGGCCAATGGAGAGCAGAAGGACTCGGACACAGGTACCCGCTACCCCCGCCACTCTGCTCTCTGTCCCTCAGAGGTCTCCTGGAGGTGCCCCCAGGACAGGTTTCCCCGAGCCTCTCTGCACCTCTTGGCTTTGTGCTGACCGTCCGAGGGGTCCTGCTGCAGCCCTGGGTGGGGGGTGCTGGAGCGAGGCCTCTTTTCCTGATGTTGGGATGACTCGGAGCTGACAGAGAAGATTTCCAGGCCGAGTTCCCTCAAGTGTGCAAAGAACCACTTCCCCCCAGCTGCGGCACGCCCGGGGACCTTCCGTGTGTGTCCACTGGGGGTGCCTCTCCCCCAGAGCTCCCTGGCACCCGCGCTCTGCTGAGCCCTCCGAGAGCTTTGCATTGGAGGATAGACTTGTTCTCCCTCAGGGCCACAGAAGCACATAAACTAAACCCGGTTGTTGGAAATAAAAGTCAGAGGGCGCCGTGGGAGTAAGCAGGAGCCAGTGCCGTCTCCCCACGAGTGCGTGTGAGCGTGGGCTGGTTACCAGCACGTGCTGTGCGCAGTCTGAAGTTGGTTCCATCTTGAGCTGCTCACAGGGACATGTGCTGGGTCCAGGTGAGAACCGGGCCCCTCGGGAGCCCCGCTCGCTCTCCCTCTCGACCCTGGTGGCTGGGGCCTTCCCAGCCTGCTGGTCATCTGAGGGCAGCTGTCTAGGCTGGTTGCAGGCCTGGAGTGACTCCACAGGGAGCCCAGAATGCGGCCCCAGGGGAAGGAGTGGAGGCCCTGCCAGGATTGGGGCGTCCTTCCTACACGTGTTGGGGGCCGGGGGAAGGCCCTGGCAGAGTGGAGGGGCTCACAGAGATGCTGTGAGTTGGGCCTTAGGTCCAGAGGAAACCAGACAGGCCTGGAAACTGACTCCCGTTTTCAGTGCCTGTGTCAGTTCTGGTTGTAGAGGGTGTGGGGCTGCTGTTTGGTTAAGAGCTTCCTGGACTCTGGAGGTCGGTGTCATCCTCTGGGATGTTCTGTGGCTTCTCGGCAGGACTGCTGCCTGGGCAGAGGCACCTGCGTGCCTAGGAGTACTCTGCGCTGCCCGCACTGTGCTAGCCCGCGGGGTGTCTGTGGAGCTGGCTCAGCTCAAGTGCAGGGGGGTTCCAGCTGGCCTTGTGGTTAGCATCCCAGCAGGGGGCCTTTGGGTACCAGGGCGGGAGGAGTCACTGGGAAGTGGGAAGCCAGGAGACGTTTTGGAAGTAAGATTTGCTAGCAGGGACTGTTGCGAAGCCCTAAAGACACGTGAAGCACAGCATTTGCGCTCTCACTCTTACCCTTGGGGGCCGATTTTACTAGACCGTCAGCCCTTGAACAACACGGGTTAGAACTGCGCAGTTCCACTTACACATGGGGTTTTTTTTTTAGAACTACTGGAGGGCTGGAGGGGCTGGAGGAGTCGAACCTGCAAATGCGGGTGCAGGGGGAGTGTTGGACTAGGCTGCTGCGGAGGCCCCCCCATGTGGCTCAAGGGTCCACTGTAGCTTCTTGTGTGTGCTCTTTCTTGATGTGACACAGCTGGCCTTCCCAGTAGATGGGTGTGTCCATGTCACCTGTGCAGGAGCCGCCCCGAAGCCTGGTCCCTTCCCCCTGCCTATGTAGTCGGTGGGCCGGGCGCTGGGCGGGGACGGCTCTCTGAGCGTTACTGCAGTTACTGACTGGTGCGGGGCAGAGATAGGGGCTCTGACCACTCTGCGGCTGCTGAGGGTCCCGGCGCCCCGCGCCCCCGCCTGGCCTGCTCCTCGGTGTCCCTCCTGCGCCCTCTGCTGGGAAGATGTTCGAATGCCGACTCCGCCTCCCCCGCACCAGGGAGAGGCTGGTGAGCTTCCCTCAGAGACCCCCAGCTGTCTGAGAACGTTCTCCTGTTTCCCAGACCCCAGGAGGGGCCGCAGTGACCACCCCCCCCTTGGAGGCCAGCCCCGCAGCGCTTAGTCAGGGCCAGGACCGCCAGGGTACCCTGACCTGCTGCATCCTGTCGGCTGCCACCTGGCCTCCAGACAGCTCCAGGGCAGGAGGACGTGCGCACTGGTCCTTCAGGAAGCTCTGGCCAGAGGAGGCCCTCCTGCCCGCCCCCGACCTGGGCCAGTCTCGGTGTGAAGCGTTTTACCAGTTAGAGGGCTGTGGAAGAAATCACATCATGTCTGGGACCCGCTTCAGAGCATCCTGTTCTGTCTGCTTTTTATAAATTTAAATTTCCCCACAACCCAAATAATCTCCACACACCTGTGATTGAGGCTGGTTTAAGTGACGGCCTGCCCACAGGCTCCCTGCTCCGTCTGACCCCAGCCTTGCTCCCTGACTAGAACCCTGGGGGCCTTCGGAGAGGGGCCTGTTCTTCACACCAACGTTTTGCTGGAAGGAGGAACAATTAACGTTGTCTTGTTTCGCTCTTACCTGGTGTCGATCAGCATTGGTGACCAGTGTGTGGCTCACCCGCTTGGTACTGGGGTCTGGGGACTGAACTCTTGGTCCCGCTGCTTCTCCGGACAGGGCGCTGCCTGGGGCGTGCAGGGAGAGACTAGCTCGGCCCCTGCCTCTGCAGGGCCCCTCGGAGCCCCAGACACGTGCCCTGCCGAGCCCCGGATGCCCCACATGTGACCACGAGGGGCTTCGCCCACCCACCCACCAAGTGTGGACTGAGGGCAAGTGATGCACCGTGACACACTGATTGAGAGGGCGCATGCCACCCACGCATGACCCCTGAGCTCTCAGGACCCCAGAGTGGGAAGGACTGGTGGCGGACGCTGACCCCTCCATCTTGAGTGGAGCAGAAGGGCTGGCCAGGCCCACTTCTGGCTCTGGGTCAGGATGTGCCGCTCAGCCCCATGAGCCCCCAGGTTTGGGGATGGGGGAGCCTTAAGGGGGGGTGGTCCACGGCCTCCAGGCAGGCCCAGGGACCAGGAGAACTGATGACACGGTTTGTGTGTTGGTGCAGGTCTGGATTTTGATTTATTGGTTTTAATCCTCAGTGTGCTTTGCTGTAGTGAAAGGCGGGGGGCACTGGGTGGGAGATCGTGTTGTCTGGGCCCTCGATGCTGACCTTACGTCCTGATCACTGCCCCCTGTGGGATGGGCGCCGGTGTCTCCCTTGTGTGGAGGTGAAGCAGCACCACTGCAGGGGAGGGGGGTGTTGGGGGACCCAGTCTCTCTCTCTCTGAGAGGTCGAGGACTTGCTGAAGGCCTCACAGACCTGTTTCTTTTCAAATGATCAGTGATGGTCATCTTCTTAAAAAGAGAGAGGAGGAGACGTAAACCAGGAGGTTGGAAGGACAGCCTGAACGGCAGCTGGTGCCCTGCACACCCGGAGGGCCAGAGTGAGGTGCCGAGGGAAAGCGCCTGTCCCATGCAGCTCAGCGCCCAGTGGGTCATCGGTCTTGCGTGGACTGGCTGGGGCTTAGGCTCCTGGATCAGAAAGAAGTCTGTCTTCCTGGCTGCACATCCGCATCAGGCCCTGTTTGGTGTGGAAGGTGTGCTCCTGAGGCCAAGAGGGACAGGACGCCCTCGGGGCAGCAGTGTCCCCAGTGCTCACCACCTGCCAGGCCTCCCTGACGTGGGGGCCTGTGAGTTGACAGGAGACCACAGATGCCCTCCGAGGGGTGGAGCCAAGACGATGTTGACACCTGAGGGCTTCACGTGGGACAGAGGAGTGGGAGGTTTCCCATTTTGGGTAGTGTGGTAAACTGTCTCCCCCAAAATTCCTCTGTGGGAAAAGCCTAGAGATGAAAGATGGTGGGTGTCCCTGCCCTGGCTGCTAGCCCCAGGGCTTTGGTGGGCAGTGGACAGGCTGAGAGCCTCACAAGGTCAGGGCCATGGAGGCCAAACCTGTGGACACCTCAGCCAGAGGACACTGTCCCTAAGCAAGGGCCTTTGTATCTTCTGGCTCAAAATGGCCTCCTTGAGAGTCAGGCTGTCCTGCCCCCGCGGGGCTGGCCCTCCACGTGCGCTGCCGTGGGGCATTCCCCTCGCTCCCCTCTGGCTGGAGAGACGGGCCTCTGTGCTGCTTCCTGGGCCCCAGGGTTCTGGCGAGGATTAGAGACAGTGATGGCGGCAGGATGGAACAGAAAGGTCAGACAGGTTTAAATGTGAAACGGAGCAAAGGAAACGAAAGTTATCACTGACAGTGAACACTCAGGGGCCAGACTGGACATAAGCAAGAACAAGTGAGCTGGAGGTGACGCTAAAGACGCGCCTGGACGGAGGCTCCAAGAGGGACAGCCCCGGGATGGCTTGGAGGCTGGAGACGGGGCGGCCCAGGGCTGTGAAGGAGGAGCACCAGGGCGGCCTGCGGGGAGAGAGGGTTCCACACGGGAGTGGGAGTGACGTGAAGCCACAGAGCAGCACGGAGAAGATGCTGGACTGTGAGGGGATGAGCCCAGGCACAATGGCATGACGGAGACACAGGTGTTACCACGTCACCATGTGCTGCAGCCTGGGGACAGGGCACCGCTGATGCCACCCTAGGGATGAGGAGATCTGATGGCCGGGAGGGCCGACCCAGCAAGAAGTCCTGCCCTCTGCAGCCCCCACCTGCCACAGGCCGATCCAGCCCGCTCTGCAGTCTGACTGGGACACGCCATCTGGAATCTGTGCAGGTTCTCTTCTGCTTCCGCTTGGGTGTGACACGCAGAACCTTAGTGGAGGCCAGAGGGGCTTGCCCCTTGTCTCGGTGCGCCTCCTCTGCCTTGTCCCCGCCTCAGTGCTGGCAGCGAGGCTCACTGCCCAGCTCGGGGCCGGAGGTTTTGTGGCCTCCTTCTTCAGGGTCCGAGAGGTCGGCCTCCCCTGGGTTGGCCTCCAGGTTGGCCCTTGCCAGCGGGAGGCATGTGGCAGGAGGGGCCCACCTGCAGCACCAGGGCCCCGGGCCTCAGCTCCCCTGCAGTGGGCTCTGTGGGCCCGGCCCCCTGAGACGCCCAGCCTGGCTGGACTTAACACTTTTCTAGATGCCAGCCACTGCAGTGCCTGAGAAACTGACTTAGGAGGTGTGATCACATTTTGGTTTGTTTCCTGTGCTGAGCTCGGGGAGACCTGTGTCATCCATGTGTCCTGTGACTGTGTGGACTCGTATGGCTGCCTGCCCACCCCGCACGTAGTCCACACGTGACCTTTGTCCCTTCCTGAGACTGCAGGCCCGGTGCCGCTAGGCCCTGCCCCCTGGGTGGGCACTGCCCTCACGGTCACCTGAAGACAGAGGCTGTGCCCTTCTGCTAGGTTCCTCTGGCGTCTTAAAAACCACTGGACTGTCTGTCTTGGAGACACACATGCAGCAGAGAGGTGGGGCTGGTCTGCCTGCTTGACTCCTGCTGCTGCTCTGTCTCTGGCGTTGTCCACACTGCAGGAAGCACAGGCTTTGTGTGCTGTGCTGAGGTTCCACGTCCGTCCTGTTCTCTGTGGGCTCTGGATTGGTGTGTGCTCGGGGGTTGGAGTCCTGAGAGGCTGGGCTTTCGGTGGTCTGAGACCAGGCAGGGCTTCCTGGGAGACTAGGTGAAGTGGGGCCCGGGTCACGGCGGGGCAAGCAGGGCCGCAGGCCCTCCGTGCAGCACTCAGCTGTGGGCGTGCTTCTGACCCCGCTGCCCGGACCAGGTCCGGGACTGAGTGCGCAGGTGGCTCAGCTGGTCAGACCTTCCTGGTGCTCTTGGTCCCAGCTGCCACGAAGGTCCTGCCGCCGGGCCACGCCTCATTCAGCCACCCCGTCACTGCCTTCACGAGGTTGGGTGGGGCCGGGGGGAGGCGTGGGTGAGTGGGGTCCTTGGTCGTCCACGAGGGGCATTCTTGCTGGAATTTACTCCGTGCTTGGACCTGTGCCTTGTCTGTTGGTTAAAAACCAGTTGCTGCTGGCGGCAGTGGCCTGTGGTGCCCGGAAAGTTACCACCTAAACCGCACAGGTCAGCATTCTCAGCAAGTCACCACTTTAGTTTTTAAAAAGGCAGTTGAAAAATAATACTTTTTCAGGAAGTAGCGGTTTATAGGAAACTCTCTTAAGGAAATAGAAGATGACACATTTGTGGGGTCAGGTGGTGAGCAGCAGCAGGGTGTTGCCCTAGGAGTGGAATCTGCCGTGTGTTCAGACACACGTCCTGTGGGGGCTGCTGAGCAGACCTGGAGGGCAGGGAGACACCCCCCCCAGACCCAAGGCCCCCGTGGCAACCCTGCTTCCCACCTGCAGTTGGCAGCCTGTCACCTAGAACGCCCCAGGGCTCCCCCAGGATGCACAGGGCAGCAGGGGAGGAGTCTGAGGCTCTCGGTGGATTCCCGGTTTCCCATGAGCAAGAGGCTCTGTGTGGAGGAGAGTGAGCTTTTGGCTCCTGATTCATGGAGTTGGGGTGTCTCTTCTGCCCGTCTTCCTTGCCCCTTTTAAAAGAAACGGCACCCCCTGTGTCTGTCGCGGTTGGCAGGGCGCATGGTAAGGGGCCGGCGCGTGGAGGATGTGCTTGTTACGAGGAGGCTGAGAGGGGAGCGCCGGGCTGTCCCCGGTATCTCGTTAGTGCTCTGTGTTGATGCCTTTAGATGCCTCCAGCTCAGTCCACGCCGTGGTACTGCAAGGCTGGTTCGCTCCTCGAAGCGCCATGGCATGAAATGGAGGCTCCTAGAAGCAAGAAGAAAGGTACAGTACTGCCGAGACAGCCTTGACCTCTCCACGGGTTCTGAGCTGTGTTTGCATTTCCACCTGTACTGTGCGGAGGCGGGCGGGGAAGGAGGACCTGGACCACAAATGCTAGGCTTCGCTAGACTGAGACTGTCCTGTGTGAGCCAGGATGTCAGTGAGCAGCTGTCCCACCGCCTTGCGCGCAGGGGACGGTCTGGGGAGGCGCCCAGTACAGTGAATGGTCGGTGGGGCCGAGGCTTGGCTTCACCGGCTGGCGACAAGGTGTTGGAGTTGTGTCCCGTCACAGCTAGAGCCGGAACAGGTGACGTGGGCAGTGGGCTGCTGCCGACTCTGCCCCACTTCCCCTGCAAGCTGCGGGGCGGGAAGCGGGCTCCGCGCTGCCGGGTCAGGCTCTGGCGTCTGTGGGCTCCGCGGCATGAAGTCTCCCCTCTCTCCTCCACCGCCTCACAGAGAAGCAGGGTCCCGAGCGGAAGAGGATTAAGAAAGAGCCCGTCACCCGCAAGGCCGGGCTGCTGTTCGGCATGGGGCTGTCTGGGATCCGCGCTGGCTACCCGCTCTCCGAGCGCCAGCAGGTGGCGCTCCTCATGCAGATGACGGCTGAGGAGTCAGCCAACAGCCCAGGTGAGCGGGGCGGGCGCCCGCGGACACGTGGCCTAGGTCCTGCCGTGCCTCCTCCCCCGTAACGCCCACCTGTCCTCTCCTCGGCCTGCAGTAGACACCACACCAAAGCACCCCTCCCAGTCGACCGTGTGTCCAAAGGGGACGCCCAACTCTGCCTCCAAAACCAAAGATAAAGTGAACAAGAGGAACGAGCGTGGAGAGACGCGCCTGCACCGGGCGGCCATTCGGGGGGACGCGCGGCGCATCAAGGAGCTCATCAGCGAGGGTGCGGACGTCAACGTCAAGGACTTTGCGGGTGAGCAGGGGCTGCTGCCGGACCGTGAGCCGGCCCAGGGTGCGGGGCAGCCAGCCTCCCGCCCGGCCTGACGTGCCCTTCTGAGGAGGAGCATTTCGGAGTAGTCACGTTCTTGTCTTTCATCACCTTAAGAGAATTGAGGCATTGTAGACGTTAACCCTGTTGTGTTATATACACCCCAGTTCTGTGCTGGAGCAGCCCCTGTTCTGGTGCTGGTGCATCTGCCTCGGACGCATGCAGGAGGGAGTGGGTTGCCCCAGCAGAGGATGGGGGTGGATGGGCCAGGGACACCCTCCCACAGCCCCAGGAAGCTCAGTCACCATTTGAGGCAGACGTGGGAGCCCCTGGCTGAGAGAGGACGAGGCCCTTTACTTACTTCAAGGTCTGTGGTGGTGGCTTGGGGCTGCCTTTGTGCACAGGAGGCCTTGGCGGGCGGCGGCGGCGGCAGGTCCCAGAGCTGTGCCTTCAGAGTGGCGGGCGTACGTGGGACCAGGAAGCCTTCTCTGTACGGAATCCTAGGTCGTCTGACCCAAACCTGATTTAGCGCCTCTTTGTTAAAGAAAAAAAAGAAAAGAAAAAAATAATTTCCCTAAATCAGGTTTTTCCAAACCACTGGAGTCTGTGTCCCCAGGCGGCCCTGTGTGTACATTGTGTGCAGCCACTCCCCCACGAGGCCTCAGCGCGCTGCCTGCTTTCCTGTTTCCAAAACCAGATTCTTCCTACCTGAGCGTTCATGGATGACACTGTGCGTCCGCCAGTCCTGCGTCCGCGTCAGGCTGCTGGTCCAGATGACTCTTTCAGGCTGTTAGCCATAGGGTCACTGTCTAGAGATCACTGAGCAAACCGGGGCGCCCCATGCTCGACACGCAGGGCCTTCCGGCTGGACGTGCTCCTCGGGAGTTAAATAACCTACGTGTGAGTGTCTGTTTCCAGGCTGGACTGCGCTGCACGAGGCCTGTAACCGGGGCTACTACGACGTGGCGAAGCAGCTGCTGGCCGCGGGCGCGGAGGTGAACACCAAGGGCCTGGACGATGACACGCCCTTGCACGACGCGGCCAACAACGGGCACTACAAGGTGGGTGCCCCCCGGCTGCTGTCCATCTCTGTCCTCCGTCTGCTGGGTCACCAGGAGTCTGTGGCAGGCCCCCAGCTGACCTCTGACCAGGCCAGCTTCCTTACCCTGGTCAGCACCCAGACCCCTCGCACCACCTGCAGCGTGTAGGACAGGGCCTTGCTCTGGCCATGCAGGTGTGGTTGGCTTTCAGTAGGTGAGTGACCGTCCCTGGAGGAAGGGCAGCCATCTGTCCTCGTCCCAGTGCTGCTAGGAGCCCTGGGAGACCTTGATCGGGACATCCAGTGCGGGATAGCTGTGGGCCTACCCCCAGAGCATGGTCCACTGGGTCTGAGGCCCGTCGCACCGCTGGAGGGAGGCTGGCACACAAAACCGATAAACGGAAGGCTCCCCGCCCTGTTGAATTCGCCCAGTGCGTCTGTAGCTGGTGTCGGAGCCAGCAGTGTGGCGAGCGTGTCGGGCAGGACCAGACGTGGCAAGTCTGCAGGGTTGGGAGGGGCTGGAATTACAGGCTCCACGAGGCCTGGGTATATCTGGACACGGATTATGGATCTGAGGTTAGGAGTGACAGTTCACTTTTCAGGGAAGATAGTGGCATTACGAGGTTTTTGGTGTTTTTAAAGAGCCCTTTGAAAGAAACATACTGAAAAAAATTTATGAACTGTCTGGGATTTGCTAAAAATACCTCAGAGAGTAGGCAGGTGCGGGCCATGGGAGGCTGGCTTGGAGCTGGGAGGAACTGGCCATCATTCGGTCTCTACTCTTGTGATTATCTCTGTAAAACTGCTTACTACAGAAGCATCAAAGGCCATGGAAACATGGAGGGGGGGCAGGATAGTGGTCCCTAAAGCTGTCCCTGTTCTGACCCTGGAACCTGAGAACATGTGAGCTGAGGTGGTGGCGCCTTTGCCGAAGAGAGTAAGCGGAGGGTCAGGAGATGACCCTGGACCAGCCAGGCAGATCTAGAGGCCTGCAGGGGTCCTCACAGCAGAGACCCCTTTCTCAGTTGTAGGGAGGGCACGTGGGGCCCTGTGGGCTTGACCTATGCTGCTGGCCTTAGAGGAAGGGGCCACAGCTGGGGAACGTGGTGGGCTCCAGCAGCTGGCATAAGGCAGGGACTCAGAGCCAGAGCCCTAGCACCGGGAGGAGGGAGACTGACCTGGACTCCAAGCCAAGTCGTGAGACCGGGTGGTTGTCAGCTGGGTCGGGTGGAGCAGCAGAGACTGAGCAAAACCGGGAGACAGGTTAGAGATTCCTTCCGTGCGCTCCTCTCGGCCCAAACAGAAGTAGGGGCGGCCGTTACCATTTGTCAGGCTCCGGGGAGGCTGTGTGCTGAGATCCAGACCCCAGCACAGTGAGCGCCTTGGTGAAGGGAGGCGCACGTGGTCTCTGCAGGAGCACTGTCTAGAAACAGACAGACTGCATTTAAGAGATGTGTCGTTGCTAACAAGCGCTGACCACCCTGGACCTCCAGCAGGTGTTAATCTCTGTGCTGGTGGAGGGTTTGAAATACTGTGAGAATTTCCAAGATGTGACACAGACAGGAAGTGAGCAGGTGCTGTTGGGAAATGCCGCCGACAGACCTGCTGGGCACAGGGTCTCCCCAGACCATGGGTTTGTGAGACATGGATTCTGGAAGTGTGGTGGAGCGAGGTCTCCCCGCAGCGCGGCTCAGGGCCTTGTGAGCAGCTCGCAGAGCTGCCCTCCTGAGTGAAAGTGAGGACAAGGTGCCCTCGTTTCTTAAACGAAAACACAAACCTGCTTGCGGAAGCTCGGTCTTTGTTTTCTCCATTCTGTAAATCCCACCCCCGGTAAATAACTCCCCCGAACTGCCAGAACCCTTTCTGCTGTGGGGCCGCTGGGCGGCGAGCTCGGGGCTGGCGGAGGGGACAGTGCGGGCTCCTTCCCGCAGAGGCCCAGCGAGGCTGTGCGAAGGGGCCGCTGTTTCCAGGGGCATGGCAGTGTTCTCAGTCCTGGCATGCCCCTCGCTGCTTTGCAGGTGGTGAAGCTGCTGCTCCGGTACGGGGGGAACCCTCAGCAGAGCAACAGGAAAGGCGAGACGCCGCTGAAGGTGGCCAGCTCCCCAACCATGGTGAACCTGCTGCTGGGCAAGGGCACCTACACGTCCAGCGAGGAGAGCTCGGCCGGTCAGTGCCAGGCGTGGCGCGGGCAGCTTGGGGCCTCCTGGAGCGTCTGGACTGGGAGGATCCTCTCCAGGGGTCCCTCTGCCCCGGGTGGGCCGCAGAGCTCATTGCTTCTCTGGCGGGAGCTCACCCCACGCCCACCCTCTGCACGCACCCGGGAGGCCTTTGTCCAGGCCGTGCTGACACCTCTCCCCTTCCCAACAGAGAGCTCAGAGGAGGAGGACGCCCCGTCCTTCGCACCTTCCAGCTCTGCCGACGGCAACAACACGGACTCCGAGTTCGAGAAGGGCCTCAAGCACAAGGCTAAGAACCCGGAGCCCCAGAAGACAGCGACCCCTGTGAAGGACGAGTACGAGTTTGACGAGGACGACGAGCAGGACCGGGTCCCCCCCGTGGACGACAAGCATCTGCTGAAGAAGGAGTACCGCAAGGAGGCCAAGGCCGGCAGCCTCGTCTCTATCCCCAAGATGGAGGTGAGGACGCATAGCAAGGGTGGCGCTGTCGCGCCCAAGAAGGCTTCTCACCGCATTCTGTCGGACACATCGGACGAGGAGGACGTTGCCGTCACCGTGGGCGGTGGGGAGAAGCTGCGGCTCTCAGCTCATGCGGTCCTGCCCGGCAGCAAGGCGCGGGAGCCTTCCAGCTCCAAACAGCAGAAGGAAAAAAATAAAGTGAAAAAGAAGCGGAAGAAAGAAATAAAAGGCAAAGAAGTGCGGTTTGGGAAGAGGAGCGACAAGTTCTGCTCGTCCGAGTCGGAGAGCGAGTCCTCGGAGAGCGGCGAGGAGGGCGGGGACTCGGCGGGGAGCCCCGGCTGCCTCAAGGAGTCCCCGTTGGTGTTGAAGGACCCCTCCTTGTTCAGCTCCCTGTCCGCCTCCTCCACCTCGTCCCACGGCAGCTCCGCCACCCAGAAGCATAACCCCAGCCACACGGACCCCCATGCCAAGCACTGGCGGACGGACAATTGGAAAACCATCTCTTCTCCCGCCTGGTCCGAGGTCAGCTCCTTGTCAGACTCCACGAGGACGAGACTGAGCAGCGAGTCTGACTGCTCCTCCGAGGGCTCCAGCTTGGAGTCGCTGAAGCCGGCCCGGAAGCGGCAGGAGCACAGGAGGAGGGGCGGCCTGCAGGGCGCTCTGCCCGACAGGAAGAACTCCTTCCACCCCGGCGTGGACGGCGCTGTCCCCAAGCTGGACAAGGAAGGCAAAGTCGTCAAGAAACACAAGACAAAACACAAACACAGGAACAAGGAGAAGGGGCTGGGCACAGCTGGCCAGGAGCTGAAGCTGAAGAGCCTCGCCTACGAGTACGAGGACCCCAAGGCGAGGCCGGACAGCGACGGGCCCGCGGAGGGCAGGCTGAAGGCGCCACGGCACGACCGCGACCACCTCAAGAGAGAGGAGAGGCTCGGCAAGGCGAAGGCGGAGGAGAAGGAGTGGCTCTTCAGAGACGAGGCGATGAAGGCCTCCAGGGAGGAGAAGTCCCTCAAGAGAGCCCGCGATGCGGGCAGGGGCTGCCGGGAGGAGAAGGACCGCTCGGGCAGGGCTGAGAAGGAGAGGCTGCTGAAGGAGAAGTCTCCCAAGGAGGAGAGGCTGAGGCTCTGCAGGGAGGAGCGGAAGAAGAGGCCCAAGGACAGGCCCCCGAAGCCGGACAAGAGGAGTGACTTCAGAGAAGACAGAGCGTTGAAAGAGAAGCCTTTCAGGGAAGACAGAGAGAGACCCAAAAAAGAGAAGGTGTACAGGGAAGACCCTGCTGTGGAGGAGTATTGCAACAAAAGCCAGCTTCTGGAGAGCGAGGACACCAAGTTCAGCCTCTCCGATGACCAGCAGGATCGGTGGTTCTCTGACTTGTCCGATTCATCCTTCGACTTCAGAGGGGAGGACAGCTGGGACTCCCCGGTGACGGACTACAGGGACATGAAGGGCGAGTCTGTGGCCAGGCTGATCCTGGAGACGGTGCGGGAGGACGGCAAGGAGAAGAGGCGGGAGGGCCGGGCACGGGACAAGCGGGGTGACAGGAAGAAGGACCGGGACCCCCTGGAGCGGGGATCCGAGCGGCGGCGGGAGCACCCCGAGAAGCAGAAGGGCGGGCCCGGCCACCCGGCGGAGAAGGACAGGAGGCGACGGGAGTCCGCAGAGGGCGCACGGGAGCGGAAGGAGCCGTCTGAGGCCAGCAAGGAGCGCAAGGACTGCCGTGCCAAGCCGGAGGAGGAGCCCAAGGAGCACGGCGGCGAGGGCGACTTCGGGAAGAGCCTGGAGCCCTGGGAGAGGCAGCACCTGGCGCGGGAGAAGGAGAAGAAGTGCAAACTGGAGAAGCACAAGGAGAAGTGCAGCGACAAGGACAGGGGCGAGAAGCCCGCCATGGAGAGGGGCCCGAGGGACAAGGAGTGCGAGAAGTGCTTCAGAGAGAAGAGGGACGCCAGGGAGAGGCACAAGGAGACACACGGCAGAGACAGGGAGAGGAAGGCATCTCTGGACGCAGGGAAGGACAGGCGAGAGAAGGGCTTCCCCGGGGCTGCCGCGGAAGACTCGTGCGACAAGAAGGAGGACAAGAAGGGCAAGGAGAAGAGCTGGTACATCGCCGACATCTTCACGGATGAGAGCGAGGACGAGGACGGCCCCCCGGAGAGGGAGGCGGGGCCGCGGAAGCACGCGGAGAAGCCGAAGGACCGGGACGGCCGGGAGAGGCGGCGGGAGAAGGGGGCCGCGGAAGGCGTGAAGGACAGGAAGGAGAAGGGCCTGGAGAAGCACAGGGAGAAGAAGGAGCGGGAGCCACCAGAGAAGCACAGGGACAGGAGGGAGCGCGGCCCCGCGGAGGCAGCGCAGGACAGG